ATTGCACTCTGAAAGTCAAAAGTTATGCTCTTCTCGTGAGCCAGGTTTTAGCAGACAATTCACTAAAGCTTGGAATTAATTTTGCCATTTCATCCAGTCAGCTTGAAATAAAAATACATGCAAATGACTGCTGACTTTTGGCAGGTGCACAAAAGGATGGGGTGAAGCAGAGAAGTAGCTCCAATCCCAAACACTGAAAATATATATATTTACACTTGAAATGGGTGTCTCACTTGCACTTTGGACTGGTAAATATTCACCATTGGTTCCTCTTCTACAGTTCAGGTTGGATTAGCTGCAGATGAAAAATGACTCTTGTGGGTGGCAAAGCATGACAAGGGCATGGGCAAGGACCTTGTAATTCCTGTGTTTCCACTGTTGATTTGCTCTGGTCTGAATGATTCCTGTCTCTGAATTAGCTGCCTATGGATGTGTAACACTATCACAGTAAACATGCCATCCATCTGACATGGATGGAGGGATGGATGGGTTGACATCTGAGCCATAAAAGTGATGCAGTTTGCAAAACAACCTCAGCAAAAGGAACAAAGTGAACTGAAAAATAACTTGTCCATTGAATCAGGCAGAAAACAGAAAAATGCCAGATCGGAGCTGACGTACTCCACCACCTCCTGCATCCTGGTCTGTGGCATGGAGTTACATTTTTATCAGGAAATTAAGTTCTTTCAGGATCCATTCTGGCGATGAAGTCAACTGAGTAGTGCTGGCCCCATCCTGATTCCAAAAATCTTCCACCCCTGATACGGAGCAGCTGCATCCATACTGCCGACTGGGGATGACCTTTGGCCAGTGCCGAAGCCTGGGCAAGCTGTGCCTGAGCCCAGGACTATTTAGAGTGGATCAAAACCATGCCAGGGAAGGTTTGAGCAATAACAGTCGGGATGGTGGAGCCCTCGTGCCTCGGCATTGCCCTGGCATGGCACAGTTGGCTGGTTTAGATGATCCCAGGGTGAATCCAGCACCACAAATGTGCCAGAGAGCTTGCCCACCGATGTTGTGAATAGAAACAGGCTCAACCTTTTCCATGGCATTTTGAGAAGCTCCTCATGCAGTATCTTCTGGCCAGAAGGTGGGATATGGCATAAAAAAGTTACCAGGAAAAAGCTGAGGAGTTAAAATCAAAGTGAAACCAAAAGAAGTTGCTGACCATCCTGCAAAAGTGCGCACCAAAAAATCAAAGGGCAAAAAAATAAAACAGGAGGAGAGAATGAGACTCTTAGCACTGGGATTAGTATCAATAAAAGGCTGGGGTAGTTTTCCACCCTGAGCTTTTGGCTTGGCAAAAGGCGCTGTTTGGCAACAAAATCACAGGTAATCCCAAAAGGAAATGGTCACCACACCAAACTGTTCACCAGGAACATGTTGGGAGTAGTGGCAGAGCACGTGCTTTATGTTAAGGCCATAATGAAGTCCTGGAAAAAGTAATAGTTCTTCAGGGACGACACAGGCTCTCCCTGGAAATCCTTTGCTAAATGAAGATGCTGATGGATATCATTCAAAGAAAGGAGAAGCAGAGGCAGAAAGTTTATGCAAGTAGTGAAACAGTCTCAACTCGCAGTGGGGGCACCTGCCTTTGTTGTTATCCACACTACGAGCCATGAAGGAGGAGGGCTTTGGAACAGGGATGTGTCAAGCCCTTGGTTAAGCTGGTTTGGTTGTGAGAAGTTAGCACTGCATTGAGAAGTAAGGACACTTCCAGAGTGTTTTGCCCCTCCACTCCCGGCACAGGGAGGAGGCGACGGCTGTTGGTGTGGTGGTGTGGAGTAAGATCCCGTTCCTGAGGGAAGGCAGGCTGGAGTTGCTCATGAGAGGCAACACTGAAGGGTCTCCTCCTCCTGGCACCTGGTGACTGTGCCTTGGCTCGTTGTCACTGTCCTGGTGGGAAGGGTCCGGCTGTTCAATGGGGTCAGTGATCAGCACCACATCATCAACCTCAAGGTTGATGAGTTTGGGGAGCAGGACCTTCTTAGGGTGCTTTTGAAAACAAGAATGCCACCTCCTGGAAAAATAGTCCTCTGGGAAGAGCAGGACTGTTTGCCATCCATTCCTTTCTCATGCTTTTGCCATGGAAATGCAAATGTGAGGAGGAGACCTCTTCATGCAAGGACCAAGGGGAGCTTTTACATGGAGAATTAGATCAAGATAAATCTACATTAACATTAAAGGCAAGTCAAAAGAAAGTTCTGGAAGGAGAAATGCAGGCCTGTAGCTGGAGGATGGGCACCTCCATTTTTTTAAGAGTGGGTGGGGACAGCGAGTTCACTTCACAAATTACCTCTCTTTATGGAGACTGTACACTGATCAGGGGAGAAACAGGGTGAAATGTTAGTAGAACCCATGAGAAGGAACTGGCTGTGGGGCACAGAAGGGATAAGGGAAATGAAAGCTTTTCACAAACATATATCTGTTCATATATATATATATATATATGTATTTATGTGCAGAGCAAACAAGGGACTGGGGAGTTAGACAGGAGATGACAAGACCAAATCCCTCCCTTTGCATGAAAATGTGACCATCACATTGGTTGGAATCAGAGCCCAGAAACACCTGCCTGAAATGGAGTTTGACTGGGAATTACAGTACCACTGACAATTTGGCTTTGTATAAACTTTGCCATGTGTCTATAGTTTGGCGTGAAGGAGTCCTGCCCTCCTTGAAGGGGACAGACACCAGTTGAAAGTTTCCTTTACAAAACAAAATTAAACAACTGAAGAAACCCCAACATTTTCTCAAAACACTGCAAAGGATCACTGATTGAAAAAAATGTTTCTCTTCAGGTATATTCAGGCGAAGAAAGCATTCAGCTTCTTTAAACTGTTATATAAAATTGGTACTAGTTTCTTGAAATACTATCATAATTAAAAAAAACAACTGATTCCTGAAATTAAAAAAAATCATAATCATAACTAAAAAATATCCCTCCATGCTGATCTTCTCATCAGAATAGGTCAGCATGAGGGTTTTGCACCCTAGACAGTTACAGTATTTCTGGAATAAAAAATTGCAATTACACACAGAAAATACTACAGCATTCACTTAAAAATATCTCATTTTGTTGTTGTTGTTTTTCCCCTCCCAAGTAGAGGGATGGTGGGATTGAAAAGATGCCCTGAAACGGGAATATTCCTTTAAAGGAGCAATACTCTCGAAATGGAAAAAGGGTGTCGGCTAGACGCAAACCCGGTGATTTAACTCGGAAAAAAAAAAAAAAACCAAGATATTCCAGCACAGAAACAGAATCCGAGAGAGATGAGAATGTTCAGACACCGAGCGGGTTATTTGGAAATGTCAAGACAACCCCACAGCCCTCGGCGGGACCATCTAGGCTTTGCCAGCATCGGAGGTGGCAGCATCTCCTGGCGGTGGAAGGCTAAGCTAAACCACGGCGCTCTCGCTACGCTCTTGGGTTTCCTCTGGTTGTTGTTTCTCGCCATGTACTTACAGTAGAGGGTGACACGAGACAGTTTTTATCAGCAGTTCCCCACATGTAACCGAGTCGAAGAATTTTCTCAGCTAAATCACAACAACAACATCAACAGAAATACAAAGCACCAAATTCATCTCGAGACGTGAGTCAGTTTTACAGGTTATTACCGTTTGAAGAAGTTTTGTTGGTTGTTTTGTTGTTGTTTGTTTTTTGTGTTTTTTGTGTTTTTTTTAATCCCGACTTTTCATGTTTTGTTTTCCTTAAAAACAAAACAGAAACAAAACAAAAAATCAAAACCCAAAAATCCCCAAAATGGAACAAAGGATGCTTTACAATCACTTTAAGGCTCGCACTGAATGAGACATGACAGGTCTTACACGAGATTACAAATAATACATGTATGCCTTTCACAGCCTTAAAATGATACAGTAGGTCAAATTATTTTGCCAGTCACTGATCAAGTATTGTGCCTTTAAATTGACTCACTTTTTGCTACCATGCTGAGTTTTATTATTACTGAAATAATTATTAGATATGTGGAAATGTACTTTCAGATCGTGGTTTTAGTTTATAATTTTGATAATTTCACATTTTCCAGAAATCAAGGTGGCAGGCCTTATTCTGGGCTCAGACTGTTGGTATTTGCTCCACTGGAGACAGTGGGGCTTTAGCACGAGCAGTTGTTGGGAACAAGATCAGATCCTGTATTTTCACACTGATCTGGTACAATCCCACCTTTGTACAGGGTCCATTTCCATGAGGAAAACGGTCCCAGGGTGGGGTCACCTTTATAACACGACTCGGTCAAGGCTTGGCCCAATGGTGTTATAAATTCCTTGCCAAATTATCTTACAGACCTGATTTTGTATTTCAGCTGTTGGAAAAATCAAACTCCATTTGGGTTATCTTGGCTTTGCTTTCTTATCTTTTCTTTCTTATCTTTAGACATTTGGAGGGTTTTTTCTGCTAAATCCAATATGAGCAACAAGACTATTTTTTATTCATACATTTCTCTTTTTGTTGTTGTTGTTTATTTTTTTTTTAGTTTTAAGGTTTGCATTTCAGTTGGATGGTTGGTTTTTCTTTTGTTTTTGTTTTTGTTTTTTTTGGTTTTTTTTTTTTTCCTGGCATATAATCATCAAAGAGTTTTGCATGAGAAAGGTGACAGTACTTAATGAAACTCAGCACCTAAGGGCATAAGGCAGTTGTAGGTTTGTTTGTTTGTTTTTTTTTTTTTATTTTTCAATCAGCACCAATCCCATAAATAATGTTCTACACTTGGTGTACGGTATAAAACTGATGTGGAGATGCCTCCTTCTCCACCTGTGAATCCTAGGTGTGGAAGTTGAAATACTGTTTCTTGTGTGTAAAAAACAAAAGAAAAGTTTTTCTTTTTGTTTTTACTTACAAAACATAGAGAATATCTTTTTTTTTTTATACATACAGCAACCAGAAAGAAAGCTTATCTGAAGGTTTGTGTTTGTTTCATGATCTGTGTTTACCGTAAACAAAAATAAGGTCCCCTCTTTTACTTTTGCTTTAAGGAGCTTTAAAGTGAAGATTCATATTGTAGCAACTCATATAAGAGAGGTCCATCTCTATACCTAATACCTACAGCTGTGGGGGTGACATATTGGAGGATGTTGATAGTTCTTCTTAACCTCCTGTCTACAAAATGAGCATCCCAGGCAGGATATCTTTTTCTTGGGATGTCAATCTTAATGAGAGGCCCCTCGGGGGGGTAGGGTCGCCCAGATGGAGTAGATGGTACCATTGCTCTCACCTGGAAAACGGGCAAGCAAGTGTCAGCTGTGAGTTCCTCCTGTTGCTCCGTGACCGCTCTGGTGGGCGTAGCCTGGGCCCCCCGGTACCCAGGGGTTTGGGGCGCCATGGGCTCAACATCGGGGGGCAAAGGAATGCCCCAGAGCAGCTCGGCGCAACAGGAGCTGGCAAAGATCTTAGCTCTTGGCCCCATGGGATGCAGCACACCATAATATAACAGCATCAAAGCTATCCCAGCAGCAAAGCTAAGAAAGACACAACACAGTGCTGGCACGGCATAGGAGTCAGTGGTGTCAGGATCTCTGTAAAAATACCAAAGGAGCGTCAAGGCAGCGTTCTCCGTCAGGACCACCGTGTAATACGCAAACATTCGGTATCGAGTCCGCCCTTCCTTGACATTAAACCAGCAGAAAATGTACACAATCCCTACCACCATGTTGAAGAGGATCTCCTCCCACTTAGACATGCAGAAATCTGTCCCACCATGGATGATCCAGAAAGCCATGGCACACCAATGGACCACTACAAAGATCCCAAAGTAGAGCTGGAAGATGGAAGCAAAGAGAGCAAAAGAAATAACTCGGGATGAGATGGTGAAGAGGCGCCAGAAGAGATGGATGAGGGCCCCTCTGTAGCTCATACTCTTCTTGTCGTCCCTAGAGTCCCGAAGAAGCTTGTGATAGGAGGCTAGCACCCAAGCCAGGGACATCAGGGAGGCCACAGAGGACACACCTGCCGGAAGACACACAGATCCACTGAGTTAGACAGGAGCTTTGGTGGAAAACATCATCTGCTCACTAAATTATTGCATCTGGGGCAGGCTCTGGAGCCTGAAGGTTCAACTCACGTCAGGTTGTCCTTACAGTCTGGAGGAGAGAAATACAGAGATATCAGTGTGGGAATTGGAAATGGTGCTGTATTCAGGAGTTCTCTGACTCCTTGTTCTTATCCTCCTGAGCCACTGGATTGGGCACCCCACCCTGGCAGTTCCACTAGGGAACAACCTCTGTGCTCATCCTGAGTGGATCCACATTTGAGAGTTTGAAATCCAGATCCCATCTAAATGCTGAAGCCCAAGTGTGAAAGTTACTTTCTTGGAGAGCAGAATCTCTCTTGGAATGCACCACGGCAAGAGCAGGACACCTATATTCCCTGCAACTGCTTGGATTCTTTTCTATTGTAAAATACTTTTATTTCAGCAACATTCCCATTGACTCTGCCTTACTCAGGAATCCCCATTTGCATTTGCCTTTTGGAAAAACATGGTTTTTGTCCCATGCAGACAAACACGTGAATCCAGGGAGCATCAAGACTCATCAATACCCTTGAAAGAGTACCAAAACAAAGGATCTGATCTCTCCAGCAAATCCCCTGCCTTGTTTCTGGGATGTACCCAAGACCTATACTGGAGGTAGCTCTTCTCCAGTCTTGTCTCCTGCCTGGAGCACAAATCCAAGTCACAGTCATGTCAGGGAGGCCACAGCCTGCATTGGGGTCACCTTCAGCTCCCAAAACATCCCACTGCACCCTGACATGGGGCAGAACACCCTATGATATTCCAAAGAGACCTGGTCTTATTCTCCACCCCAACCAACACTTAAGCAATTTATTTCCTCCAGAAGATAAAATAGTAACCCCACCATACTTGAGAGGCTTTAAAAAATGTAATTCCATTGATTATCACAAGGGTAGATTGAACAACTCATGGAGCAAAGCATCACAATAAAAACTAATTGAGAGATTCCTGGGAAAAGAAAGAGCTGCTGGCATCTTATTCCTTTGCCCCCTCTGCTTCTCACTGGACAGCTGTTCTGCAGGTGAGGAAACACGTGATGGACCAAAATCCATATTTGAGAAGCTCAGTAATTTGGTAGCTATGGTTGGACTGGGCCTTAGCCAAAGATTTATCTGGGAACATCACCTTTAAAGTCCAAAGGAAAAACTGCTACTGGTTCCAAGCAAAAGAGTGAGAAATGCCCCTCCACCTCTGACATGTAACTGAGTGATAGGTCTAGATCTTGACTTCTACTTCTTTAAGAAAATCCAGGAACATCTTGCTGCAGATGCTCAGAGTTAAAAAGGTAAAATGCCTGAAAAACCTAAATTTTTTCTTCTCCTGTTTTTATTTCTTTCTGCTCACAGGAGCCTTGCTTCCATGGGAATGCAAATAAGGTCCACTGACTCCTCAGACCTCACTGTAGAATTTATCTTTGTCTTGAGGAGCCCACCCCACAGTGTGGCAGGGTTAGATTTCCCTCCTTCCAACCCATCTGAGTCTGGAGGAGAGATGAAGGACAAGAAGGTCAGGAAGGATGGCAGACTCCAACTCTGCCCTCGTTGGAATTCTCACAGCCTGCAAAGTCCACCAAAACCACACTTTTTCATCAGCTCTCAAGTTTACCTCTGAAACCCTTGTCTTTGGGCTCAAATGTGCATTCAAATTTCAGACTGAACTTTAAAAAACAACATAGAGCAAAGCAGTGAGAGCAGTGGCCTTATCCAAGAGGGAAGCTTTAAGCCAGCAGCTTTAAGAAAATCACTATTTTCCCCAAGTTCTAAGTCCTCACTAAGAAACACTTGCACATAGGACTTGGGGATTCCAACCACAGACTCACAGAATGGCTGGAGTTGGAAGGAAGCCCTGGAGATCATCCAATCACTCTGCCAAGGTAGAATCACCTGGAGCAGGTGGCACAGGGACACATCCAGGTGGGTTTGGAATGTCTCCAGAGAGGGAACTCCATGCCCTCCCTGGGCAGCTGTTCCAGTGCTCTGACACCCTCAGCATAAAGAAGTTCTTTCTCATGTTGAGGTGGAAGTTCTCGTGGTTTATTTTACGGCCACTGCACCTCATCCTGTCACTGGGCACCTCTGCAAAGAGTCTGGCACCATCTTCTGACACCCCTTGGAGGTATTTATGTAGATTTTTGAGATCCCCTCTCAGTCTTCTCCAGACTGAACAGGCCCAGCTCGTCCAGTCTCTCCCCATAATGGATGGAAACTCCTAAATATGAACAGCCTCATACTCAAACAGATGTAGATTAGATTAATTTTTAACCTACAAGATGAGTTACATTTTTGGTTGACTTTATTAACAGTTTTAGAAGGATGAGTCATGGCACAAAGTTTTGTTATGTGTATAAGTACTGTTTGTTGCACTACCTCTTGGCTATTCAGTTTAAAAACTTTCCATGATTAGCAGGGAAAAAATATGTCATTTATTGCCTTATTTTAGTGCTGTTTTACTAGAAACTTGTACAGCATTAGCTGTACCTGGGGAAACTCAAGCAGCACCAACCCACAGGAGACAGATGTGTCACCCTTGATTAAAAATGTTTCTATTGTGCTCATTTATTCTAGAAAAGAGAGAGGAATAAAATACACCCAAAACAATCCCCCAGTTTGCACATAAAAGCTTTACCTAATGTTTTCAGGGCAGAACCCTCCACTAATCACAGCCTTTGCTGTAAATTGCTCAGAGTGCATGTGTTGAGTCACTCACACGGCACCCGGGCTGCTGACAGTCATCTGAACGTCTCCTCCAGCCAGCAGAGAGAGGCAGACACCCCCAGAAAGTGATTCAGCCTGTCCTGACATCCGTGTGTGGGACAGGGAGGGGTTGACTCATGCTCCCAAGGTGTCTGACTCCATCCCTTGCCAGGGGACGTGCGAGCACCAGCAGTCAGGCAGGATGAGCTCCCCCTGTACAGAACAGCTCATTGTCTCTTCATCTGCACCAAGATCTGAGGGAGGCAATGAAGGATCTTTGAACAGCTTGACATATTTTTGCTGTTGTTTAAAAGTTCACAAGCCTTGTGTTGAATGTGAATTTTGGCACCCTGGTGATGAGCAGGATCTGGACCTGGGTGTGAGGGGGGAGATCTGTGGGTGGATGTCAGCAGGAGCTACGGAGTAATGTAAAGACTTTTACATCACTGTTACTGCCACAAAACTATTCCCTAGCTCTTTCATACAGACTTAAATGACACAGCACTTTTGTCATCTTGACCACAAGTTTCCCATTCCCAACTTTCCCTGCGACTTCCAGCCTGTGACATCTTCATACAGTTTACAATTCTCACAGACTGTGGGATAAACAGTCCCTGCTTTTCCTCTCAACTTCTCCAGACCTTATGTCTAAGCAACTTTAGAGATCTCTTCAATTATAACTAAAACAAAAAGTTCTCAAGAGTTGGATCACATGAGCAGTAATTTTTTATTTTGATTCTGACTCTTGCACGTGGTAACTGATGCACCTTCATGGAGCATGAGTAAGTTTCAATTCCCTTCCAATGTTTGTTTATCAAAGGGATGAGGTTGGATAAACACTGAAGTCACTTCCAAAAAAGCCCACTCCCACTCTTCCCACTCTGTTCTCAGTCTTGGGAGTGGAACATCCCCACCACGCACTACCCCATCTCTGCAGGCATTCTTGAGCCAGGAGCAAATCACCTCCTGTGGGGCTGCAGTTCTGGGATCTGTATCCCACCTGCCCACAATGAGTCAGACTGGCACAGACTGGGATTCTCCTCAAACCTCTCTGCCCTAGTAAGGCAGAGGCCAAAGTCACAGGCCGAAGTCAGCACCATCAAGGAGTCAAGTCCCTGTGTCTTGAATGACAAAGCACAAGAAATAATCCCCCAGATTCCTTTAAGGATGAACCCTGAAGCCCTTGCAGTGAGACATCTGCTCACCTACATTCAGCACGAGGAGGCAGAGCTCTATAATGTCCCATTTGACAGATGAAGCACCAAGATTTGAAGGATTTACCCAAGATCTCATATAAAATCCAAGCTAAACCAGGGAGTAGTTCTCCTTCACATCACAGTGTGCTTGACAAGACATTTCAGACAGGATTCAGCTCCTACTGTAGAGACTCACCCCAGGGTGTCCTTGGTTAAATGATGTCTGTTTGCTCAGAGGAGGATCAAAGCTTAGTGCAACCATCACAGGTGGGAATCCAGCAATGTTTGAGGTGCTTTAGGATATTCCAGACCACCATGTGGAGCTGGCAGAGGTGACATACTTGCATGCAGAGGACAAGAACATTTCTGAACTGGGAGCTGGGGTGAAGGAAGGCACTCAGGACATTTCAAATGACACCAGCTGAGACTCAAAAAAATTCTGCCTTTCTCAAGGGAGCTCATGATCCCTCTTCAATGATAAATACATGTGGCACAGAGGCTGTGCAACAGGAAATGGCACAGAGAGATGAGAAAGCAGTGGGAATTAAGACAGGTGTATAAAAGTTAAATTTCTGAGAATGTCAGACCAAGGAATAGATTCTCTGAGAAAGGGAAACAAGAGCTATTGCTTTGGATCATGAAAACAAGAGTGGACTTGAGTACAATGCAGACAGTGATCTGATACAAGAGAAGAGGAATCTGAACCACTCTGAGTTGAAGGGAAACTGCAGAAGCTCACAGGAACACCCTGAATTTCATCCTGGTTTGGTTTTCCTCTTCTGGTTCCTACCCATAGTCCAGAAAAAGAAAAGGTCATCTCTGATTTGTGAAAAGGCTCTTTGAAAAAAAAACAAAACAACCAAACCCATCCACATGAAAAAATCAAAGCAATGACTCCCCTGAAATTGCCACTGCTGCTTTTAAACCTGGGAACAAAAACAGTGCAGGGAAAGCCATCCCTGTCTATCTGGCCTATTCCTGCTATGCAGGGTTTTACAACCACTCTAATGGAAAAAAAATCACAAACACACATGAATATTTAAAATG